GTGGTCCACTCGTTTGTCGACCCTAAACTGTGGCGACGACCGGGCAACCCAGGGGAAGAGGGGAGAGGGGAGGAGGGGACAGAAAGTAGGACTTCCGGAGGCCGGGGAGGGGGGGGGGGAAGGTTTCGAAGAGAATTTTCTACAATAAAACAACTGCTACCTGTACCACCAGGGGGCGAAACACCCATCGTCCCCTTGGATCCGCCAAAGTCCACTTATTTTTAAGTCATTTCTCACATTGCCCCGATTTTATACGATTTTACTACACACACTCACCACATACTTGCCGAAATTCGGAAGCTTTACTGATGATTCCCACTTCTACCTGCATGCTGTGTTTGGTATGAATCTTACGATTTTCTCATTTGCAACTGAAAGCAAAAAGTAAAATGAGCATACAGCTCGATCACAGATGCTGTCGTTTGCTTCGATAACTCGTTCAAGCAGCTCATCCAGATCATCAATTCGCATTGGTACTACTGATCGACAACCTGCATTTCGCAGCACCTTACGTAGTCTAAAAATTGGGAAATCTTCATATCTCCAATATTAGAAAAAAAAATATCCATATCTCCAATTTTAGAAAAAAAAAAGATTAAAAAATTCAACGTATAAAAAAAATTGAAGTATATAAATGATCACCGTAACACAGATATTAGCCAGCCGAAAAATGGTTCTCAATGCAAAAAAAAAAAAAAAAATTCGAAAATCATATTTCCAATTCAAGAAAAAAAAAGTTAAAAAATCAACGTAAATTGTCACCGTAACAGGCCCACAATGCAAAAAAAAAGATGGAAAAATTCTATGTAAGTCGTTACCATAAAGCAGGAAATAAAAATTTCAAGTTCATTTTTCGGCTGGCTAATATCTGTGTTTATCAACACAAAAAAAGATGTTTCGTTTCTTGTGGTACTTGGTTTATATGCAAAATCCAGGCGTAAGGGAACGATGATTTTAAGCTGTTTAGATGGAACTTGGCTTAGGAATATCTTTGTGAAATTTCAACTTTCTAGCTTTTGCGGTTGATGAATTGAATGTGAGTAACAAAAAGCCGAACGCACACGCGCACACAGACATGCACACACACACACACAGACATATTCACACGCACGGACACATATATGCACACATACAAACATGCACACATATACAGACACACACACCTACAGACACGCACACAGATACACAAACAGACACGCCCATAGGCACATACGCGCACAAACACACACGCACAGAGACTCACACACACACACGTATGGACATACACATATAGACACACACACATATAGACACACACTCATATAGACACACGCACATATAGACACACACATATAGAAACACACACATAATAGACACACATACAGACACATGCAGACACACACAGACACGCCCACAGAAATGCACTCGCACAAACACATACATGCACAAACGCACGTACAGACATACACACGTATAGACACACACTCATATGGACACACACATACATACAGACACACACACGCACACAGACACACACATACATAGATGTACAAATACATCGACAACCTCTCGACAATATGCGTTTTTGCATTTGCATAAAGGTCCAAAAAGGCATAAAGAAAATGTTTCATCTGCCAAAAAAAGCAGTTTTACGTACAGGACAGTGATTCTCCGTTGCTGCTCGGTCATAAGATTTACATAGGCTGGAAAACTCGCATACAGTTCATATCCCTCGGCTCGCATCGGCAATGCATTTGCTTCTCCAACAGCTTGCACCGCACTTGTCTTCAGCTTCTAAAGAAGCTTCAACAGTAACACTGGGATGGCGTGGCATCATGTTCTTATGTGGCACGAATTCAGGCTTATTCGTTTTTTTTTTCTTTCATTTTTTTCATTAAAAAAGCATTTTATTAAGTAATTACTGACCAGACAAGCTACGAAGCTGAAACTTCGTTCTTTTTTTTTTTTAATTTTCTTCGTCAAAAAAGCATTCTATTACTTTTGAATAACTACTGGCCAGAGAAGCTGCGAAGCTGAAACTTTGCAAGGATATTCTATATTCACGTGTGGTCTTAATTCAGTTTGGAAGTGAAATTCTCTACAAGCAGATAAGATTGCGGTAGAAAAGGTGCCGCATCTTACTACCATAAGTAGAAATTAGTATTCCCTCCTCTTTCTCCTCCTGCTCTAAAATGCACGTCCGGCCGGGTATTTCAATTAATCAAGCTCCGGTGCCAAAATTTTGCCAGTGGGTTCCCTGGCCAAGTGTCACTCCAGAACTGCAGTATCAATCACCAAGACCATTCGGGCTCCGCCTACGAGCACGTGAAAGTTTTGGCAGGAAAACACGAGAGGGAAAGGGAAGAGGACAAAGGCATGTATTTTATCGCAAAAACTCCGCCACCAAAAAGCATTTTTTTCCCCCGAAAAAATCGTAAGAATCATACCTTTATTGCTTCCATAAGATCATCGTGTGCAGCGCTGGCACCTTTACCACTCATTTTCAAAAATTCTGAAAAAATAAGAAATTCGCTAGATTTCTTTAAAATCAGTTATTTCAGCCCACGGGATATACCAGACAAAAACGCGACATCAATCGAACACTAGGAAATTTGTTATGATAAAAATAAAACAACAATAAATAGCAGCACGCAGCAGATTAGCCGGTGCGATTATGCGTTTTGTGCAATTCAGCCCACCGAAAGATTACCTATTAATGATTTTCACTGCTTTGTACTTTAGTCTGTGCAGAAATGGTTCAAACATTGGAAACAGTTAAAAATTTCACGCACCAGCGTATGAAAGCTGAATTCGAAACCTTGAAGG